CAGAGAGAGAGAGAGAGCGAGAGAGAGAGCAGGTAAAGAAACGCCAGCATCGCTTCAAGCGAACAGTCAGTGGGGCGTAGCGCGACCCTCGCATCCCCTCTCTTCCTCTTCCACCTCCTCGTCCTTCTCCTCCTCTTCCTGCTGCTGCTGCTGCTGCTCCTCCTCCTCCTCCTCCTCCTCCTCCTCCATTCCTCCTCCTTCTAAATAACTCTCCTTGAGGCCAGCTTTTAGGGCGGGCCGGGCGTTTCGCTTGGGACTTCTTCACCATTGATGACCCTGAAGCTTTTGAACGTAGCAGCACCTTCTCGGATTGAGGGCGGATGGGTGGTTTTGAAAATGTGGTTCTCGCTTGCGCACATTCGTTTTAAACATTTGCATACGGATTGAGGGCGGGTCGTTTTGAAAATGTGGCTCTCGCCTCACCGCCGCGCACACTCGTCTTAAACATTCGCAATCGTTTCACGGATTGAAGGCGGGTGGTTTTCAAGACGTGTCTCTCGATTTAGCGCCGCGTACATTCATCTTTTAACATTCGCGAGAGCTTCAAGGATTGAGGGCGGGTGGTTTTCAAAGTGCGGTTTTCGCTTTAGCGCCGCGCACATTCGTTTTTAACGTTTGAACAAGCTTCACAGAATTAGGCGAGTCGTTTTCAAAAGTGGCTCTCGCCCTACCGCCGCGCACATCCGTCTTGAACATGCGCAAGAGTTTCATGGATTCCCATGATCAGCGCATCAAGAATGGTGTTTTGGTAATAACTCAGGGTTATGAGGGTGCAACTGTTACATTCATTCGCTGCGCTGAAGTCTCAGGAATGGTGTTCTGGCACGGTTCAAGATCGTCAAGACGCAACAGTCTGTTTGACCCGTGGCGTTGAAATCCCGAGAACATTGTTTTTGCATGCTTCAGGGTCTTCAAACGGTTGTCTTCCAACGAAGCAGCTCCTTATTGGGAATGAACCGTCGATGTAAGGGGTCTATGACGAGGGAGCTTGGAGGGAGTGTTCATTCCAACACCGTTGGTGACTCTTGGGTTTCCACTGGTCCTCCTCTCCTCCTCCTCCTGCTCCGTCTCGCTCCTCCCTGCTCTTCCCTCCCTCCGGGGAGGGGGGGTGAGAAGCGGCGATGGACGGACGCTGCTCCGTCCTCTTTCTCTCCTCCCTCCCGTGCCCCCCCTCCCCCATCCCGCCTGCCCCCCCCAAAGCAACTGAAAAGAGGAGACGGGTGCTAATTTCTCATTAACCTCGACCATACGTACATAAAACGACAAATCGTCAAGCGCAGCCTCGTTCGTTGGGAATACCAAGCAGTCGATACGTATATATAATATATATACACATACATACATACTTATACAGACTTACACATCTATCTATCTATATGCACAAAAGTTGTCTTGGCGACGGACCCAGCCGTATCTACTTAGTGAGTATCGCAGTTGTAAGCTTCATCTTCGGTGGAGCCCCATACGGGGCCACGGAACAGATGAGAGTGTGCCGAAACGGAGGGCGAACCGAATGCGAATTGTGCCACTGGGGCCTTCTGTGGGGCTCCTTATGGGGCCATGACACGTGTGAGGGGTGTTTCGAAATGGGGGGCACCGCATGCGAACTGTGCCATTGGGGTCTTCAGTGGAGCCCCCCGCGTGTGAGGTGTGTGTGTGTGTGCGTGTGCCAAAATAGAGGGGAACCACATGCGAACTGTGCCACTGGGATCTTTGTGGAGCTCCCTGGGGTTATGAAACGTGTGAACGTGTGGTGGGTGTGCCGAAATGGGGGGGTAACGCATGCGAGCTGTGCCACGTGGGTCTTCGGTGGAGCTTCCTGCGGCGCCACGAAACGTGTGAGGGGTGTGCCGAATACGTAAGGGGGGGGGGGACTGGCGGAACCCAAGACGTATCGACGATGCTGCAGCATACCCTCCCTTCCCGAGCCTCCTCCTCGGAAGTTCTTGCCGGCGTTCGTTCTCGTTGTGCAAGGTGCTCCCTTGAAAGACAGCGCACCCTGGGCCCACACTTCAGGCGGGAGCGGCTGTTGCAGTGCTGCTTCCCCCTCGGTCTGGGTCAGGGGCTGCAGCCCGCAGGCCGGAGGGGACGGGATCGTTTTTTTTGCGGATGATGTGTTCATCTCGTTTCTGACGGCGGTGATTGGAGTTCCCATAAGAAACGCCCTCCGTCATGATGCGACAAGAAAGGAGTAGATAGTTCAGGGAATTCTCCAGCGACAGCCCCGCTTCGAGGAGGAGCTGCGCTCCCTCCGCGTAGCTTTGCATGTTTGAGCTTCTGGCCTCTAAAGTCAATACTGATAGTAAGGAGGACGATGGATTTCTCAGGGGTACCCTTGCATCCTGGCCGCTTCGGTCATATTCGGTCTATCCTCAACTGCTTTCGATGGTTAGCCCCGCTCGAGGAGCCTCGGCATGGGCGTCCAAGGCCCTTGCATCCTTTTCGCGGGTCCTTACTATCAGTTTTGAGTGTAGCACATGGAGGCGTCTCACGCAAGAGGCCCATGTTGAAAAGTAGCCGCACTGCACCCGTGCTATTGTGGCACGGTTTTGCAGATCGAGTGATGTTGATTGAGGGGTATCAGGCGAGAGCCCCCTTTTGAACAGGAAACGCACTCCATTTGACACTTGTAAGACAAATGTCCGCGGCGCCAAGGCGATAGCCCCGTTTTGAAAACGGTTTGCCCTCCATCCGCACCCCACCTCGAAAACGATTCGGCCGCCATCCGTACAACCCTTTGATATTTGAAGGCGAGTGTGGGCGGCGCCAGAGCGAAAGCCCCTTGTTGAAAACCTCCCGCCCGCCATCCATGCAGCTGCCAGAAGCTTCCAAAGCGACTGCGCGCGGCGCCCCGGCGTGAGCGGCACCCTGAAGACCACCCGCTTTCCGCCCGTGAGGCTGGTGGACGTGTCAAGCCTCAGGATCATAAGCGGGAGGAGGAGGAGGAGTAGGAGGAGTTTAGGAGTTGAGGAGGAGGAGGAGGAGTTGAGGAGGAAGAGGAGGAGGAGGAGGAGGAGGAAGAGCGAGGAGGGAGGGAGGAGGAGAAGGAGGAGGAGGAGGACCAGCGTAAGCCCAAGACTCATCAACGATGTTGGAGTGAACCCTCCCTCCAAGCTCGCCCGCCACAGGTCGCTACAAGGGTTTACTTCCATTCAAGGAAGTGCCCCGTTGGGAGACAACCATTGGAAGATCCTGAAGCGTGTCTAAACACCATTCTCGGAGCTTCAACGCCACGATTCAATTTGATTGTTGCGTCTTGACGATCCCGAAACGTGCCAGAACATCATATCTGGTACTTCAGCACCGCGAATCAAAGTAGCTGTTGCGCCCTGACAATCCTGAATCGCTCCGAAGCACCATCCCTGATACGTTAACCATGGGAACCCGTGAAAATCTGTCAATTTCTTGAGACGAATTGCGCGACGCCAAGGCGAGAACCACAATTTGAGAAGGATCCGCCCTCAATCAGTGAAACGTTTGCAAATGTTTAAGACGAGTGTGCGCGGCGCTACCGCAAGAGCCACATGCTTAAAGCGGCCCACCCTCAATCCGTGAAGCTCTTGCAAATGTTTAAGATGAGTGTGCGCGCGGCGCTAAGGCGAGCACCACATTTTGAAAACGACCCGCCCTCAATCCGTGAAGCTCTTGCACATGTTCAAGACGAGTGTGCGCGGCGCTGAGGCGAGAGCCACATTTTGAAAACCACCCGAGTTTTTGCCAGTTTTTCTAAGTCTCAGGATCGTGAGTGGTGAGGAGGTCTCAGGCGAAACGCCCGACCCGCCCTTCCGAATGGCCTCGCGGTGTGACCGGGAGGAGATATGTAAAAGGAAGGAATGGAGGAGGAGGAGAAGGAGGAGGAGGAGGAGGAGGATATTCAGGATGAGGAGTTGGAGTGTCAGGAGGAGGAGGAGGAGGAGGAGGAGGAGGAGAATGAGGAGGAGGACGAGGAGGAAGAGAAGGAGGAAGAGGGGGAGGAGATTTTGGAGGACGAGAGTCACGAGGAGGAGGAGGAGGAGGAGGAGGAAGAGGAGAAGGAGGAACAGGGTAAACCCAAGACTCATCAACGATGCTGACATACACCCTCCCTCAAAGCTCCCTCTTCATAGGCCCCTATACGGGTGTATTTCCACTGTGGGAAGTGCGCCGTTGGAGGACAATCGTGTGGAAATCTTGACGCGTGCCAGAACACCATTCTCAGGACTTCAACGCCAAGAGTCAACCTGACTGTTGCGTCTTGACGATCCTGAGTCGTGCCAGAACACCAATCCTGGGATTTCATTTCCGCGAATATACGTAGCTGTTGCGTCCTGCCAATCCTGAATCGATCCAGAACGCTATTTCAGGAATGCCAGCCATGAGGCTCAGCGAAACTGTGACACTGTTTTGGGACGAATATGCGCGGCGCTTAGGCGGAAACCACATGTTGAAAACGAACTGCCCTCAATCCGCGAAACTCTTGCAATTTTAAGGACGGATGTGCGCGGCGCTAAGGTGGGAACCACATTTTGAAAACGACTTGTCCTCAACCTGTGAAGCTCGTGCAAGCTTTTGGAGCGCATGCGCGCGGCGTGAAGGCGGCAACCACGTTTTGAAAACGACCTGTCCTCAATCCGCGAAGCTTTTGTAGTTTTTAGGACGAATGTGCGCGCGGCGCTAAGGTGACAGCCACATTTTGAAAACGACTTGTCCTCAATCCGTGAAGCTCTTGCAACTGTGGCGCCAAGGCAAGAACCACATTTTGAAAGCGACCCGCCCTCCATCTGTGAAACTGCTGCCAGTTTTAAAGATTCAGGCTCATCAGTGGCCAGGAAATCTCAGGCGAAACGCCCAGCCGGCCCTTCCGACTGGCCTCGGGGTGCGACAGTGAGGAGTTATTCATGAGGAGAAGGACTGGAGGAGGAGCAGGAGCAGGAGGAGGAGCAGGAGGATGCCCCTGTGGCCCCCCTTCTCCTGGCAGAGGGCTCGTGGGCAGGCAGCACGGGAGAGCGTCCATCCCCGAGGTCCGGGGCGCTTCCTGCCGAACTGGTCGGTGCCGCGCCGCTGGGGCTGGGCTCTGCGGCTGCTGCGGTTCCTCGGCGCGGTCTCGAAGGACAAGTGGGCCTCGTCGTCGTCGCCGCCGCCGCCACCGTCGCCGCCGTCGTCGTCGTCGCCGCTGTCGCCGCTGCCGCCGCCGCCGCCGCCGCCGCCGCCGTCGTCGTCGTCGTCGTCGTCGTCGTCGTCGTCGTCGTCGTCGTCGTCGTCGTCGTCGTCGTCGTCGTCGTCGTTGTCGTGGTCGTCGTTGTCGTTTCAAGCAGTGGCGAAGTGTTCCGGCTTACCTCTAGGCCCACCAAAGGGAGTGTTCTAAGAACCTTTTGTGATTTGCACGAAATGTTATTTTGAACATTTCTGGTTGAGACTGTCTTGTTTCAATCATTCGGTTTTATGTTCCAAGAACACTGTTTTTGCTTTCAGAACATTCTCTGGTTCTACGAACATGTCGTGGCAGGCCTATAGAAATCCCGGGAGGGTCGGCCCCTGCTCAATCGCTGACGTCACCGCCGCCGGCGTCGTCGTCGTCGTAATCGTCGTCGTCGTGCGTCGTCATTGTAATCGTCGTTTTCTTCGTCGTCGTCGTAATCGTCGTCGTCGGAGGAAGATGTGGAAGAGGGGTTAGTGAGGAGGAGGAGACGAGGACGAGGAGGAAGAGGAGCAGCGGGAGGAGGAGGAGGGGGAGGAGCAGGATTACGGATTGTGTTCGGAGGTTTGTCGGAGATTAGCCTTGCCAGAGGGGGTGGGACGAGGAGTAACAGGAGGAAGAGGAGGAGGAGGGCGGAGGAGGGGGAGGAGAAGGGCGGAGGGGGGGGAGATGAAGGGCGGAGGAAGGGGGGGAGGAGGAGCGAAGGAAGAGGAGGAGGAGTGGGAGGAGGCGGAGGAGGCGGAGGAGGGAGGAGGAGGACGAGGAGGAGGAGAAAGATGAAGCGGAAAATGAGGAGGGGGAGGAGGAAACAGAAGAGTGCAGAGGTTACGTTGACGCAGTTGACACCGATGACGAGGAGGGAAAACTCGACACAATTGGAGAAGGACGCACGGTTGACTGGTGACAAAGAAGGTATACTTGATAGTGATCACAATTGACCAGGTTGACAAAGTTGACACATCTGCCGAACACAACAAAGTTGAAATGAAAGCAGCAGATGGGCAAATTTGAGGCTCTGGCTGCAGCGGAGCTGGCGTCAATCAATGAAGGTGGCAACCTTCGACGCGGCCAGGGGGTGCGAGTGGTGCGCTTGCAGAACAAATGTTTTCAAAAGGAGTTGAAGGCACGCTTGGTACATGGGATGCCCATGCTAAACGCTAGGAGGTCGTTACATGCAGCACTTTGGTGAGAGCCAAGCCTACAAATATTGAATTGATTAGTCGCCCCAAGCCAGAATTACTTTCTCGAGCAGGTTTGTAAGCGCGCTAACAACGAAGGCGGCATTGAGCAGCAGTTCGACAGCATATATGATCCCGGCTCCCTGTCCGGCGGCCCCCCCCCACCCAGATGGGATGGGTCCCAGGACTCGGCGGGCCCCCCAACCACCCCCCAGATGCGATGGGGGGGGACTTCGTCGCCGCCGTCGTCGTCGCCGTCGTCGTCATCGTCGTCGTCGCCGCCATCGTCGTCGCCGTCGTCGTCGTCGCCGTCGTCGTCGTCGCCGTCGTCGTCCCTCCCTCTCCCCCCTCCCTCTCCCCTCGCCCCCACATGTCTCCCTTGCTCCACCCCCCCTCTCTCACGCCCTCTCTGGAACGAAGAGGCGGAAAGGGAGGCAGAGGCAGACGACGACGGCGGCGAAAATGCCGACGACGACGATAACGATTTTTTATCGATTTTTATCAGATCGCAGACATAACCTCGGAACGCGCCCCCACCACCCCACACCGACAGGCCACAAGCCACACCACACCCACAGGGGGGGGGCCCAGGCCCATGGGGAGGGGGGGGGCCCGGGACCTGGATCGTATATAGGCGTTCTTGTGTAACTGAGTGCAGAAACCGCTAAGGCAGCCCCACATGCGGGCAGGCCGCCGCCAAGGCGGAACCGCGGCATCATCAGGTTCCCCAAACAGTGTTTGCTTGCACTTAGGGTCGAAACGAATTTTTTGGGGGTCCACGCTGGCTAACATGTCTACCTGATACTAATCTGCCCACCACGGTGCCTTTACTACGGCATCCAAATGGCCTGCGAGGGACAATTTTCCATTGGCTGCCGTTCAGGATCGAAGGGGCCGTGGTAGTTAGATAAGGAGGGTGGGGATAGGGAGGTTAAGGATGATGACCATTCGTGGCACGAATTAATGCGCAAGTTGGCTCGGAATTGTATGTATGCGCCTTTCTCCGACCCGCACATCCCTGCATGAAGAGGATGGTACTGAACCAGGCACCCCAAAGCATCGTGACATTGGCCCTTTTCCTTGCTCGCGCCTGCAAGTACGCAGAAGTCACCCTCCAGGCACGTTCACTTTGAATAGGAGGGGCACTGGACTGCCGCAATTATGCAACTCTCCAGTTCTCTGCTTATCCCCCCTCGCTTCCCTCGTCCTCCGCCTTTTTGTGGGATGGGTGCTGGCGGGATGTTCAGGTGGAGTCGGTGGAGGGAGTTGATGATGTCTGCCACGATGGTCTCGGAGGCCGCAGTGTTGTTGGGCCGCCAGAAATAGTACTCCATTGGCCACTTTTGTTGAGCGTGCTGCCGTGCCTGCACTGTGCGCGTTCCCTCGGTGATGGTTTCAACTTAGGGTTTTCATTGCGCAGAGCATCGTATCACGGGCGTGGCGCGTAGGCGCTGGCACTCATGACGGAGGAGGGCTTGGGATTGTAGGGGCGGGGTGTGAGGGGGAGGGGGAGCTGCGGCAATGGTGGGGTATAGTCTGTCCCCTGCTTGCTTTCGTTGTATTTACGTTTGTTCGGATGCCCGTGTTAGGACACTAACGGTCAGCTTGGACTGTCAGGATAGGGCAGACCATGCAGCTCATCCACATATTTAGCAGTGCCCCTCGGTGAGGGTCTTGATGATGCGTTGGATGGGTACGTTGGGAGCTGAGGTTGGGAAGCCTGGTTGGAGGAGGAATGCGATAGCGGACAGCCCCACTCGAGGGCCGACCGCCATCCAGGCACACGCGTGTTGCATTGACCCTCGCTAAGGGCCTTGAAGTAAGTGAGGTTGGGTATGCTCAACTGGGGGAGGGGGGGGACTACCTTGCCGACGCCTGCAGGTATAATACTCTATGCCCTAGCGGGCTCTCCAGTTATCCGTTTCTCTTCGCGCCTTTTGCATTTCTTAGTCTCCTCTTAGTCTGCAGTCAGGCGGTTTTATTTTTCCCTATCTAGGCTCTGCCTAGAGGGTTCTTACTTTGTTTGCTTAAAGGGGCCGGGCAGTGTAAAACGCCCCGGGCGGTTCCCCCAGTCCCCGCCCCGCGGTTCCCCCAGTTGCGCCCCCTGGGTTCACCCAGCTTAGCTTAGCTAAGCTTAGTTTAGCTTTGCTTTGTTTAGCTTAGCTTATCTCATCTTAGCTTAGCTTAGCTTAGCTTGGCTTAGCTTAGTTTAGCTTAGCCTAGCCTAGCTTAGCTGAGCTTAGCATAGCTTACCTTAGCGCAGCGCAGCAAAGCGCAGCAAAGCGCAGCGCAGCATTAGCACAGCATAGCATAGCAAAGCATAGCATAGCATAGCATAGCTCAGCATAGCATAGCATAGCATTGCTTAGCATAGCACAGCGCAGCATAACATAGCACAGTATAGCATAGCATATTGTTGCTTTCACAGAGGCTCCAACTCCTAGGTAGGGTCGCACTGGGAAAATGTATTTTTGCCACCAGAAGAACGCTACAGGCTTTGCATGTATAGTCCTCCCAACGGAAAACAAGAGGATGAAGAGGAGGAGGCAGAGAACCAGAACACACACAATATTCATCAAGGATATTGCAATAGCCTCCCTCTCCAAGTTCCCTTTCCATAGGCCCCCCCACAAATGCTCCTTGTCATTGAGGGAAGTGTTTCGTTGGAAGACAGCCGTTTGAAAATCCAGATCTGTACCAGAACACCATCATTGGGAGTTCACTGCAGCGACTTACCTTTGCTATTGCGTCTTGCGCCATCCGAAACCGTGCCAGAATGCCGTTCATGGGACTTCAACACCGCGAATCAACGTAGCTGTTGCGACCTGACAATCCGACATCGTGCCAATACATTATTTCTGGGACGTGAACCCTGAGAGTCCTTGAAACTGCTGCAAACTCTTCAGACGAATGTGCGCGGCGCTGAGGGCGAGAGCTACATTTTGAAAACGACCCGCCCTCCATCCGTGAAGCTTTTGCACATGTTTAAGACGAATGTGCGCGGCGATTAGTCGAGAGCCGCATTTTGAACACGGCTCGCCTTCCATCCTGAAGACCTCACATCGTTTCAAAGCAAGTGTGCGTGGCGCTAAGGCGAGAGCCGCATTTTGAAAACCACCCACCCTCCATCCGTGAAATTTCTTGCCTAGTTTCAGAACGAATGTGCGCGGCGCTAAGGCGAGAGTCACATTCTAAGAATTAGGATGGTACATGGTGAGGACGTCTTAGGCGAAACGGCCGGCCCGCCTTTTCGACTGGCTTCGGGGTGCGACAGGGAGGAGTTGCTTATAAGGGGAGGAGGGGGAAGAGGAGGACGAGGAGGAGAGAGGAGAGAGGAGAGAGGAGAAGGAGGAAGAGGAGCAAGAGGAGCAAGAGGAGGAAGAGGAGGACGAGGAGGAAGAGGAGGGAAGAGGACGAGCAGGGAAGAGGGGGAGGAGGGGAGATGGGGCAGGGAGGGGAGTTTCAGGAGGTGGAGGAGAACGAAGGAAGGAAGAGGAGGAAGAAGAGGAGCAGCAGCAGAGGGGTGGAAGATGATGGAAGGGAGTTGAGGTAGGGATTCATGGGGGAGGGGAGGAGGAGGAGGAGGAGGAGGAGGAGGAGGAGGAGGAGGAGGAGGAGGAGCAGGAGGAGGAGGAGGAGGAGGAGGAGGAGGAGAAGGAGAAGGGAAGGAGGAGCAGGAGGTGGAAGGACAAGAGTCCTCGTCCTCTGCCCTTGTTGTATCCTCCCTCTCCCTCTCCGTCTGCTGCTGTCTTTGCTGGTGCCGAGAGGACAACTACGGGGACATGGACAGAGAGCGCCTGCGGGAGCAGCTCCAGAGCGAGTGGGGGGACATCCTGGACTCCGGCACCTGCCCGGTCGGCCGGCGTTCTTCCCGTGGGGTCAGAGCAGTGGCGGGGTAAGCAGGAGCCAGAGTATTCGACGAGCCAGAGTATTCGACGAGGTCCGACCGCACGAAAGTTGCGGTCCCCTGCCCGTTAGGCGTCTGAGTCCACTCGGCCGGCAAGTCGAGCCCGGCTGCAGGGTGGACCAGATCCCATCCCCACCGCCAAATCGGAATCGAGCCCATTCGTTTGCGAATTTGTCGTGGATTTGCCGATGATGATGTGGATGATGATGATGATGATGAGGATGAGGACGATGAGGATGATGATGATGAGGATGAGGATGAGGATGCTGATTATGATGATTATGATGACGATGAGGATGAGGATGATGATAATATGAGGTTGAGGATGATGAGGATGATGATGATGATGATGATGATGATAGTGATAGTGATAGTGATAGTGATAGTGATAGTGATAGTGATAGTGATAGTGATAGTGATAGTGATAGTGATGACGATGATGAGGATGAGCTGAGGATACGGATGATTATCCCAGTGCGACCCTACCTAGGAGTTGGAGCCCCTAGGAAAGCAGCATTAGTAGTAACAGTAAAACGAAGCTAAAGCTAAGCTAAAGCTAAGCTAAAGCCAAGCTGAAGCTAAGCTGAAGCTAAGCTGAAGCTAAGCTAAAGCTAGTCTGAAGCTAAGCTGAAGCTAAGCTAAAGCTAAGTTAAAGCTAAGCTGAAGCTAAGGTAAAGCTAAGCTGAAGCTATACTAAAACTAAGGTAAAGCTAAGTTCAAGCTAAGCTAAAGCTAAGCTAAATCTAAGCTTTAGCTAAGCTGAAGCTAAGCTAAAGCTCCCAGGGGACTGGGGGAACCGCGGGGCGGATACTGGGGGAACTGCCCGGGCCGGTTCCCACTGCCCGGCCCTTTTAAGCCAAGAGAGTAAGAACCCTTCTAGGCAGAGCCTAGGTAGGGAATAAGGATGACGAGGATGATGACGAGGATGACGAGGATGATGAGGATGATGAGGATGATAAGGATGATAAGGGCGATGAGGATGATGAGGATGCTGAGTATGATGATGATGATGATGATGATGATGTCGATGACGATGATGATTATGATGATGATGATGAGGATGAGGATGAGGATTCTGAGGATGAGGATGATGACGATGAGGATGATGATGATGATGCTGATGCTGATGATGATGCTGATGCTGATGTTGTTGATGCTGATGACTCTGATGATGATGATGATGATGAGGATGATGATGATAAGGATGGCGAGGATGATGAGGATGATGAGGATGAATAGTATGAGGATGATAATGGGAGGATGATATTGATGATAATGCTGAGGATGATGATGAGGATGATGACGATGATGATGACGATGATGATGCTGATGATGATGATGATGCTGATGCTGGTGGTGTTGATGATGATAATGATGGTGAGTATGATGAAAAATGATGATGATGCTGATGATGGGGATTTCGATGATGATACTGATGATGATGACATTTCTGATGATGATGACGAGGATGATGATAATGATGATGCTGATGATGATGATGACCTGGATGATGAGGATGATGAGGATGATGAGGATGATGATGGTGATGATGATGATGCTGAGGATGCAGATGATGAAGATGATGATGCTGATGATGCTGATGCTGATGCTGATGCTGATGATGTTGATGCTGATGCTGATGTTGATGTTGATGCTGATGTTGTTCATGATTATGCTAATTATGATGATGATGAGGATGAGGATGACGAGATGATGATGAGGATGATGAGGATGATGAGGATGATGAGGATGCCGAGAATGATGATGATGCTGACGATGATGATGATAATGATGATGAGGATGAGGATGAGGATGAGGATGATAATGAAGATGAGGATGCGGATGCGGATGCGGATGATGAGGACGATGAGGATATGGTGAAGATGATAAGGCAATGATGATGGTGATGAGAGGATGATGATGTTAGGGATGAGGATGGGAGGATGATAAGGATGACGAGGATGGTGATGATGATGCTGATGATGATGCTGATGTTGATGCTGCTGCTGATGGTTATGCTGATGGTGATGCTGGTGTTGCTGATGGTGATGTTGATGATGCTGATGAGTTCGATGATGATACTGATGATGATGGCAGTGCTGCTGATGATGATGATGATGATGATGACGAGGATGATGAGGATGATGCTGATGAGGATGATGACCAGGATGATGAAGACGATGAGGATGATGAGGATTATTGATGATCAGGATGACGATGCTGAGGATGCGGATGATAAGGGTGATGGTGCTGATGATCATGCTGATGTTGATGCTGATGATGCTGATGGTGATGTTGATGGTGATGCTGATGTTGTTGATGATGATGCTAATTATGATGATGACGATGATGATGAGGATGAGGATGACGAGGGGATGATGATGAGGACGATGAGGATGCTGAGAATGATGATGATGAGGATGATGATCATAATCATGATGATGATGAGTAGAGGATGATAATGATGATGAGGATGCAGATGATGCGGATGATGATGATGATGATGCTGATGTTGAGGATGATGATGCTGATGATGTTGCTGATGATGTGGATGCTGATGCTTATGACGGTGATGATGATGATGACGTTGATGCTGCCGATGTTGATGATGATGATGATGATGATGTTGACGTGGATGATAAGGATGATGCTGATGAGGATGACGATGCTGCTGATGATGAAGACACTGATGCCGATGATGACGATGATGATGATGATGATGATGATGATGATGATTATGATGATGATGATGATGATGATGATGCTGCTGACGAGGATGATGCGGATGATGAGGACGACGAGGACGATGAGGATGATGAGGATGATGGGGATGATGCTGCTGATGATGATGGGAGGATGATGATGATGCTGAGGATGCGGGTGATAAGGATGAGAAGGATGATGATGAGGAGGATGATGATGCTTATGATGCGGCTGATGTTCATGCGGATGCGGATGCTGTTGATGATGCTGATGCTTATGATGATGTTGATGATGATTACGAGGATGCTGAGGAGGAGGAGAAGGATGATGAGGACGATGAGGATATGATGGTGATGATGATGATGGGATAATGAGGATGATGATGATGATGATGATGATGATGATGATGAGAGGATGATGTTGCTGAGGATGAGGATGAGGATGATAAGGATAATGCGGATAGTGATGAAGATGATGATGCTGATGCTGCTGTTGATGGTGATGCTTATGCGGATGCTGGTGTTGCTGATGCTATGCTGATGATGCTCATGATTTCGATGCTGCTACTGATGATGATGACATTGTTGCTGATGGTGATGATGATAACGAGTATGATGAGGATGATGAGGGTGATGATGATGATGATGCTGCTGATGATGATGACACTGATGATGATGTTGATGATGAGGATGGTGACGATGACGGGGATGATGAGGATGATGATGATGATGATGATGATGGTGAGGATGATACGAATGTTGATGATGATGGTGTTGATGAGGGGATGATTACGGCGATACTGAGAATAAGAATAAGGATGGTGATGAAAAGGATGATGATGATGATGATGCTGATGATGCTGATGATGATGCTAATGCTGATGTTCATGTTGACGACGATGATGCGGATGATTACAGGCGGTCCAGATTAGTAGGTCGACCCTGCCAAATCAAGGGTTCGCTTGTGTCCTGTGCATCGCGCGTCGTGTCCTCTGCAGCCCAGGAGCAATGTATCCTTGCGTCCTGTGGTTTCCGCGGGTGTCGGTGGCTTGGCCCGCGGCGTTCTGGGCGCGTCGCGTCGCGGGGAGGTCGCGGCCCTGGTCTAGGGTACGTTGGTGTCCTCTCGGGTTTGGGGGCTCATTTGGCTTCGAGGTATGATCGTGGTTTCAGCGTCGCGCCGCTGGCGCCGCGGCGAAAGGTCTACTCTGCGTTGTCCTCTGAGCTCGGGCGCGCCGCTTGTGAACCAACGACGCGTTGATTCGAGGTCGCCTCCGCGCAGCAGGGTACCCTTGTGTCCAGTACTTGCCCATCCCTGCACGTTCATTTATCGTCGCATTCGGGCAGAGAGGTCGCGGGGCTCGCGCAGAGGGCATCCTGGCGCCTTGCCTTTTGCGGGCTCCTGGGAGCTGCTGTAAAGGCGCGGTTTTGGCGGAGTCATGCGGGAGGTCGCGTTTCCCAGAGGCTGCCAATGTCGGAATGTTCGCAATTTTTGCGCGCTCTTGGGAGGCCCAGCGGAGCTACGTATCGAAGACGCCTACGGCGAATCACCGCCGCCCCCTGCCTTTGTGGAAGCGCCTATGTGTCCGACAGCTGGGCTAGAGCTTGGCCAAGCTATCGGACCATGTGTTCCCCGAGTCTGTTTGGAAAGATTTCGGGGAACGCGGGGGGGGGGGGGGGGGGAAGGGGAGGAGGAGGAGAAGGAGGAGAAAGTAGAAGGGGTTTGCCTCTTCGGAGCCTCTTGAGGCACTCTTGGGCTCGATTTGACCATCTTGGGACCGTCTTGGAGACCATGTTGGGGCTATCTTGGGCTCTCTTGGGGCGTCTTGAGGGCCTCTTGGGGGCCTTTGGGGGCTTCTTGGGTGCGTGTTTGGCCGTCTTAAAGCGTTCCTGACCCGCCTAACTTCGTCGGAAGCCGTCTTAGGGGCCTCTCTGAGCCGACTTGGGGCCTTCTTGGGGCGCTTCAGGGCCGTCTTGGAGGCCATCTTCGGCGTCTTGGAGGCCTCTTGGGCCGTCTTGGGGCCCCCTTGGGGCCGTCTTGGGGGCCCCTTGGGCCGTCACGGGGCCATCTTGGAGGCCTCTTGGGCGATCTTCGGGTGATTTTGGGGGCCTCTTGGGCCGTCTTGGGCCGTCGGAAGGCCGAACATGCGCAAATGTCGAAATCCTTCAAACACCTAAGGACAATCAATGAGTTGGGCCTCTTCGAGCCTTCCTGGATGACCTCTTGGAGGCTTCTTGGGCCGTCTTGGAGGCCTCTTGGGGGCCTCTTCGGCCGTCTTGGGCCATCTTGAGGCCATCTAAGGCCGTCTTGGGTGCATATTGGGCCGTCTTGGAGGCATCTTGGGGCCATCTTAGCCGTCTTGGAGGCCATCTTGGCCGTTTTCGAGACATCTTGGGGAGGCCATCCTGGCCGTCTTCGAGGCCATCGAGGGCGTCTTGGAGGTCCCTTGGGCCGTCTTGGGGCCCTCTTGGGCCGTCATGGGGCCATCTTGGAAGCCTCTTTGGCGATCTTCGGACGGCCTTGGGAGCCTCTTGGGCCGTCTTGGGCCGTCCGAAAGCCGAAAAGGCGCAAATGACCTAATCAATCAAAAACCTAAAGAAAATCAATGATTTTGACCTTTGCGGGCCTTCCTGGAGGACCTCTTGGAGGCCTCTTGGGCCATCTTGGAGGCCTCTTGGGCCATCTTGTTTGCGCGACGTTCAGCGGTTAGTGAAGTTGCGCTTGCCTTGATTGCCGAGGTCGCACTGCTATTTGCCCAGACGGTTGTTTTAATGTTTCGCCCTTGCGAATTGTGTTGCTTTTGCTGGTCGTGCTCGCATCGTCGTTCTTCGCGGTCGAGTTGCTTTTGATTTCGTTCGTGCCAACCGTGTTGCTCGCACCTCTCTCGGAGTAGCCTATTTGGGCATGAAGCATCGCGCGGGCTCGCATGCTTTCGCAATCAGATAGTTGCGCTTCTACCAACGCTACGCCACTCATTTTTGGTTGAAATCGTTTATTTTTTGATTGGCGTTTTGTCGCCGAAAGCTTCGCCAGTATAATGTCACTACTGACTCTTGGGGACCTTTTGGGCCCATCTTAGTCCGTCTTGGGTGCATCTTGGGCCGTCTTGGGGGCATCTTGGGGCCATCGTAGCCGTCTTGGAGGCCATCTTGGCCGTCTTGGAGGCATCTTGGAGGCCAGTTTGGCCGTCTTGGAGGCCATCTTGGGCGTCTTGGAGGCCTCTTGGGCCGTCTTGGGTCCGTCTTGGAGGCCTCTTGGGCCGTCACGGGGCCATCTTGGAGGCCTCTTGGGCGATCTTGGGGCGATCTTGGGGGTCTCTTGGGCCGTCTGGGGCCGTCGGAAAGTCAAAAAGGCGCAAATGCCAAAATCCGTCAAAAACTCACGGAAAATCAATGATTTCGCCTCTTCGACCCGTCCTGGAGGACGTCTTGGAGGCCTCTTAGGCCGTCTTGGAGGCCTCTTGAGGGCCTCTTGGGCCGTCTGGTGCCATCTTCAGGCTTTCTTAGGCCGTCTAGGGTACATCTTGGGCCGTCTTGGAGGCATCTTGGGGCCATCTGAGCCGTCTTGGAGGCCATCTTGGCCGTCTTCGAGGCATCTTGGCCATCTTGGGGCCGTCTGGGGCAGGAAAACCGTTGGCAACCGGGTCTTCCGGGTGGCCGGCGGGACGGGCTGAAGCCCCAGGGGGAGTTTTTTGGGAAAAAGAACCAAAACCAAACGCTATATCGTCCGGCACGCCAGGCACCCTTTTGATAAATCAAAAGGGGGCGGCGGATCAATGGTCTTCGGCCCATCCCGCCAACGTGCCTGGATTATGGATCAGAGCCCTCAGGGATGCTTCTTGGGGTCTCTTCGGAGTGCCTTCGGGCGTCTCCCAGGAACAGTTCGGGGGCTTCTTCAGGGCATCTTGGGAGTCTCCTGGGGCTTCCTGGGGTCCTATTGGGGGCCTCGGGCCTCTTGGGGGCCTCTTGGGGCTTCCTGGGGCCTGTCGGGGCCGAGGGCTCGAAATTCTGGGCCTCTTGTTGGAGCCTTTTTGGAAGCCTCCTGGTCCGTTTTGGGCCTCTCTTTGGCCGCTTTGTTTCGTTGATATTCGAATCATTTTTTTGTCAGCGTGTTGCAGGTTTTGCGCCAAGGGATCCAATCGTAGCTGCGTGCAGCAGTTTTTTTATCATTCGCGACACGCGTGCACAAAGAAGTTTTTTCTTGCAGAATAAGTATACCGCATAAACAGTTGTTTTTGTTCGTTGTTGGTCAGTGTTTCTGGTTTTTCGTCGTGGCTATGTTGTCGAAGAGGTTCATTGAAGATGTTTGTTTTTTCGCTGTTTTTTGTCGGGTGAGTTTATGTGTGGCGGTATTTTCGCCGTTTTTCGGTGACACTCGGCTCTCGTGAGGCCTGCTGGGCCCTGGAGCCCTCGGGGCTCTCTGGGATTGCCCGGGAGCCACTGGGAGCCCCCTGGAGGTCTGTCGGGGCGCTCTTTCGGGCGACTGTTGCGGTGGGTGCCTGCTGGACCTCCTTGCGGCCCTCTTGAGCTAGCGTGGGGCCAGTGCACGAGCGAGAACGCCCGAAATTCTAAAGCATATGCAATGAATTTTCACGGATTCGGGTCTCTCCAGCAGCTCCGTTTGAGATGTCCCAGGGGCATCGTGGAGCCGTCTTGTGGCAAACCAGGCCTTCGCAGAGAGGATCATCTCGGGCGACATATTTGAGTTTACATGGGCATGTTGCGCAGTTTCGGCGGCCTCGGTGGCCCAGGTGGGCAGTTTTGGTGCCCCTGGGTTTCCCTTGGGGAGCTGGACGCCCTCCCTGTCCCCCCAGGGTCCCAGGGTCTATTTGGATATGGTCGGTCCGATTCGATATCGATGTCGGCCCGCCTGATCCGATTCGATTCCGCTGAGCCGATACCGCTACCCTTCCTTGTTTTCGCCTCTTTGGGCCTCTTGGGAGACCCTCGTCGCCACCGCTGGATTCGCCTCGAAATTGTGGTCAGAACGCACCGCGGGAGAGGTCCAGGGAGTAGCTGTATTGGTACCTTTTGCATCAATTGCATCTGGACTTTCTGGGAAGGGGCGCCAACAAAAAGGCCGAGGCGCACTGGATACCAACAAAATCTAGCCTCCAGGTGCCGACTTATTATCCATATCCAGGCCGCCTCGGATTTCTGGGGAAGGGAGCCTGAAACTCCAGGCTGCAGTGGATACGCACACAAATTTCGCTTGCAATTCTTCCATTGCCATTCTTGCTCAAGCAGGCTGGCTTCAAATTTTCGAAGGCTTCCAGACTGGTTAGCCCGCGTTGCACTGTGACTCTGGCCGTTGTGCAGGCCTTTGCGCCATCCCAGGGTCGCTGGGAATACAGTCAACCCGCACAGTAAGGATGAGCGAATTTCCCAGGCTACCCTTGCATCCTTCCCCTTTGGCCGCTTTCGCTGGCTGCGCCCCAAAGTGTCGACATGGCCTTCCAAGGCCTTTGCATCCTTACCGTGCGTCCTTATGATACGGGTCGACTGCACGTCGAGGGTTTTAGGTCGCCATCGATGGAGCTTGCCGTTATGCTTCGGAGTCCCAGCTCCACCCTCATCGAGGCCTCGAAGGCGGACTGGACTCGGGCGAGCTCCACGCTGATCGGCGACCAGTCGGCACCCGTTGCGGCAGACGTCGCCGATGGCCCCGCAGGCCCAGCCAAGTCTCCGTTGGCGGCGGGCGAGGCGGAGGACCAGGACGAGGGGGCAGCGCCGCTAACAGCGCGAGCGAGGACGAGGCGAAGGGGCGAGGACCAGGGCGAGGACGAGGACCAGGGCGAGAGCGAGTGCGAGGACGAGGACGAGCAGGCAAAGGCGGAGGACGCGTCGGAGGGGCTGGAAGGCTCGTTGAAGTTGAAGCCGAAGACGAGGGCGCAGCGCCGCCGCCAGCAGCGCCAGCACAGAAAGGAGCAGGAGCTGCTCAGGCGGCCTCTGGTCCCGGAGGCGTCGTCGGTTCCGCGGCCGAACCGCCTGATCCGCCAGGGGCGCGCCCAGGGTCCGCCGGCCGACGGCAGCGGTGAGTGAGCCGACGGCCCAGCCCCGAAGTGATTGCCCCCCACATGCGGCCGCTGCCTTGCTGAGTTGCATGCGTTCCTTGTGGTGGTTGCACTCGCAGGAGCGTCGCTGTGGCATGGTACATGATCTTAGTACAGATCTAGGGCTTGCAAAGGTGGGACCGACCTTCTTAAGCGGTGCATCGTTATGCGCCGACCGGCACCCATCACCTCCTGCTTTGCCCTCCTCTCTGCGCCCTCTTCGCCAACTTGGCACGAAGCTGTTGCCGATACTAATTCGAAGCGAAGCGAAGTCCGCCATCGCCGGTCAGAAGCAGGCGGCCCCTTCGGGTAGCAGGCGCACCGTCGCCGGTGCTCTGGCCCTGGACAGGACCAGAAGGCAGCAGCTTAGCTCAGGTGTTCATGAGCCTCACAGACTCTCGTGCGCCCACATTTTCAGCTGTTTGGAACCGAGATTCCTGGGTTCTCGGAGATTCTTTGGCTTACGCCGCACCGCCGACCCCTTGGGACTCCTGGTAGGTCTCTCGGGGGCCTCCTGGCAGCACTTGCCAGGCGTATCAGTGTAGCGGCCCGTGCAAGAGAAGACTACCGAAGTCGGCGTTCTCCGTGAACCCTACCAATGTCGCGCGCGACGAAAAGAAGGGCACCCTGAAGTGCAAGACATGCAAATGATGACCAATTGGGCGCGCGTGCTGGGGAGGAAAAGGAGGACGGGGAGAGAAGCATGGGGGGTGAGGCGGAGGATGGGGGGGACAAGAATCGAAGAGGACGAGGATGAGGTGGAGGGAGGAAGAGGAGGAGGGGGACGAGAAGGAGGTGGAGGAGGGGGAGGGGGAGGAGGAGGAGGAGGAGAAGGACGAGGGGGACACTGAGAGGAGGCTCTGGGCTATGGGTTATGGGTTAGAGGCTTCTTGTATGTGTATCGGGATCTCGTGGCACGCCTCTCGGGGGCCTCTGGAAGGCAGTTTTGAAGCCACTTGGGGGCCGAGGTGGAGGAGGAGGGGGAGGAGGAGGAGGGGGACACAGAGAGGAGGCTCTGGGTCATGATTCTGGGTTAGAGGCTTCTTCTTGCATGTGTATCGGGATCTCGCGCCACGCCTCTCGGGGGCCTCTGGAAGGCAGTTTTGAAGCCACTTGGGGGCCGAAGTGGAGGAGGGGGGGGAGAGGAGGAGGGGGACACAGAAAGGAGGCTCTGGGTCATGGTTCTGGGTTAGAGGCTTCTTGCGTGTGTATCGGGATCTCGCGCCACGCCTCTCGGGGGCCTCTGGAAGGCAGTTTTGAAGCCACTTGGGAGCCGTTTCGGAGCCTTGGGGCGTCTTGGGGGCCTCTTGGGAGCCTCTGGCGGCCTCTTGGGGCACTCTTGGCTCCCCCTGGGGCTCCTGGGGGCGGAAAGCTAGATGTTTTGAATTTTTAGTCGCCCTCTGGGGCCCCTCTTGGTGCCGTCTTGGTGCCCTCTTGGGCCGTCTTGGGGACCTCTTGGGCCGTCTTGGGGCTATCTTGGGCCGTCTTGGGGCCGTCTCGGGGGCCTCTTGGGCCGTCTTGGGGCTGTCTTCGGGGCCTCTTGGGCCGTCTTGGAACGTCGGGAAGCCGAAAAGGCGAAAAGGCCAAAAACACAGAAAAACACAAAGGAGAATCAACAATTTTAGCCTCTCGGGGCCCTCTTGGGAGGCTTGTTTGGGACCTCTGGGGCCGTCTTGGAGGCCTCTTGGCCCGTCTTGGGGCCATCTTGGGCGTCTTGGAGCGCTCGTTTAGCGTCCCGGGGCCCTCGTGGGCCGTCTTGGAACCCTCTTGGGGCCTTCTTGGCCCATCTTTAAGCCCTCTTGGGCCCGGTGCGCTCGTCGGGTGCCCCCCCCCCCTTCAAATCGACCGGACCGGGCTCCCGGGGGAGGGGTTTGGGGAGGGGGGAACATCTCACACGCCGATGATCCCCAAGGGGTCGGCGGATTTGATCCTAGAGGCTTACGCCATTCCGCCGACCCCCAGGGGAGGAGAGAAGTTCTCGGGGGAGGGGTGTGAGAGTTCTTTCGACCACCGAGGCGCATGTACACGACGCGTGGGCAATTCGTGGCGTCGTCGTAACATGATGTAGAGCGTTATAGAATGTATGACGGTCTTCTCGGGAAACCGCAAGTGGCGAGCGTGTGACGAGTGCCGAGCGTGTGACGAAATGTGGAAGGAGCGTGTGACGGGTGAGACAGCTAGAGCGTCCTCGGGAATACGACTAGAGCGTTATGGAGATATGACGGAGGCAGGTGGAGAGGAGCGGAGGATGAATAGGAGCAGGGAAGGAACAGGAAAGGATGACAAGGGGTTCAAGCTCTTTGTAGCATTTCAGGGGCTTCTTGGGAGCCTCCCGGGGAGTTCTTCGAGACCTGTTGTAGACTTCCTGGAAACCCTTGGGACCGCCTCGAGGGCCTCTGGGGACTTGGGGCAATATCAGGGGACAAGGCTCGAAATGCGACTTCGTGCTCACCCTCTTGGGCCCCTCTAAGGGCGCCCCTGGGGCCGTTTTGGGACTCTCTTGGACCGTCTTGGGGCTCTCTGAAGTGCCTCATAGGTTATCTTGGAGCGATCTTGGGAGCGTTTTTGGACGTTGTGGACGTTTCGAGGACCAAAAAAGCGAGCATGCCAAACATGTACGTTTTCCTATGGGAGGGGGGCGATTGATTCCCTCTCGGCGGTCCTCTGGGAGCAGTCGTGGGCCCTCTTAGAGGCCTCGTGGGAATTCTCGGTGCCCGTTGGCACCGCAGGACCTTCACACTTATGGGCTCCGCCACCGGGCCGGGTGGTGTCTCCCTGCTGCAGGAGCCAACACTCATTATTGAAGGGAAGGAAGGTGAGGGAAGAGGTCGCACTGGAGGGAGGACAAGCGGGAGGGTCCCAAGGAAGCGCAGCCTTTTTTCTGCACGTGCAGGTGCCCGCCGCCCGAAGGCTTCTGAGGGCCACAGCTGCTGGCGAGTAGCCAAGGTCACGCCTCCCTCTTTTATCGCATGGGAGCAGAAGCCCGTTTCCACCCTGCGCGGACCTCTCCGCGTCCAACGGCTCGCATTGGACGCCAATGGACACGCACAGCCTGGGCCTATCGGTGTTCTACCTTTCCGCTGGCAGATCCTCGCGCTCAGCGATCGTCGATATTTTTTTCTGGATGACTGAGTTCAATCTTCTTCACTGCACTTGCCTGGTTATGGGTTAGGACGGCCAATTTACCTGAAACCTGTTGCCCTCCAATACCGCCTGTTGCGCCGAATACATACACCAGAAATCAAATGCGCCGTAATGTGGTGGCCATAAACACACCATAATCCAAATTTGCGGCGTTTGGATTCAACAGGAGCGCCCGTATAGGCGGCAAAAGTGACAACAATACGCGGGTGTGTCGCGAATGCATACGCCAAAATCTGTATTTCCCGAGTTTGGATTCAGCAGGACCACCCGTATAGACGACTAAAACTACAACAATACGCGGGTGTGTCGCGAATGCATACGCCAAAATCCATATTTCTGGAGCTTGGATTCAGCAGGACCACCCGTATAGACGACTAAAACTACAACAATACGCGGGTGTGTCGCGAATGCATACGCCAAAATCCATATTTCTGGAGTTTGGATTCAGCAGGACCACCCGTATAGGCGACTAAAACTACAACAATACGCGGGTGCGTCGCGAATGCATACGCCAAAATCCATATTTCTGGAATTTGGATTCAGCAGGAGCACCCGCATCAGCGGCTGAAAATACGGCAATACGCCGGCGCGTCGCGAATGCATGCACCAGAACCCATTGCGTCTGAATATGGACTCAGCGCATTTCCCCGCCGGGACGGTTTGAACGACCAACAAACAGCGAGAAGGTCGCGATGCATTCGTCGTTTCTATTCACCAGGTCTGTCATGTGACATGTGACCATGTGTGACCTCATCGTACTGTTGTTGTTGTTGTTGTTGTTGTTGTTGTTGTTGTTGTTGTTGCTATTGTTTATTGTTCCTCCTCCTCCTCCTCCTCCTCCTCCCCCTCCTCCTCCTCCTCCTCCTCCTCCTCCTCCTTATTCCGCCCCCCCCATCGATATGGCGCGTTTGTCTCCCGCTGCCATTCGCGCGCCAGGTAACCCCAGGTGCAGGGCGCGGACGAAGATTGTATTCCAGTCTGTTTTCTGCGTGGGGGGGGCGGCCATGCTTTCGAAAACGACGCGCACAAAAATGACCAGAGTAAGGACCAGGGGCCGAAGGGGCAGGAGGAGACGAACACGGGCATTGTCAAGAAGAGGTTCAAGGAAATCGGGGGCGAGGGAAAAGATGCCGATGCCGATGCACGCCAGTTCACAGGGCCTTTCTTGGGGTAAGTTCTGACTGGAATGCCGAGGCGTAATCCAGCTGTGGCGACGAGTGCTCACCAACGCGAGCACTGGCATTGGCGCCATCGCCAGTGGTATCGATTCTTCCAGTGACGAGCGGGTGCAAAAGATGACCCGGCAGTCGAAGGAGCGGTTCGAGCAGCGGCCTTTGAGCGGGGCCCTTCTCGAACCCTCGGAAAGAGGAGCCAGGAGGAGGGGGGAGAGAACAAAGCGGAAGGGTAGGAGGAGGAGGAGGAGGAGGAGGAGGAGGAGGAGGAACGGAGGAGGAGGAGCAGGAAGACAGGAAGACGGACAACACGACATCACATCACATTGTCCAGGGACTTGGGTTTTTCCCTGGCGGGCGCGACGGCATGCTGCATGCTAAAGGATGCGAAGTCTCCACTTCTCCAAGCCCACGTCGGAGAGAGAGGGAGAAAGAGAGAGAGAGAGATAGACACGGAGGGAGGGAGAGAAAGAAAGGCAAGGACCGGGGCGGCAAGGGCAAAAGAGGCGAGGTCCAGGTGGCAAAGACGACCACCGGCCACGAGGCCGCCTCGCCCCTCGCCGGCCGGCCGGCGGGGGTTCGGGCGCCTCTCTGGAGGGCCCTTCTGTCCTCCTCCTCCTCTCCCAGGCGCCTGGAGGACGACCCAGGCCAGGCAGGGCCACGGCAGTCCACGCACAACAGAGAAGGAGAAGGAGGAGGAGGAGGTGGATGAGGATGATGAGATGAGGATCAGAGGAGGAGGAGGAGGAGGAGGAGGAGGAGGAGAAGGAGGATAATGGAGGAGGAATCTTCCTCCTGGGCTCCAGTTCCTGCCGATGCCGCGAAGCCTGTCTCCCTCCCTCACCTCCCTCCCCCTACTCTCTCTTTTCTGAGCTGTTACTCTTACCCCTCATTGTTACTGTTACTGTTACTGTACGTCTTACTTTACTTCTAACTTCTCTCTTCCCCCTTTATCCTCCTTCTTTCCTCAGTTAGTGTCCTGACTCCACAGAGTCAGGGCCCTGCCCCAGTCCTACTATGTAGGACCAGGCCCTGCAGCACGCCGCAGCCATCCTACTGGCCCTTCAGGGCCTCGAGCTTCTTGAGGATCTGCTTCGGGATGGAAACCCGGAGCGTCTTCGCGTCGGCCAGCAGCCTGTCGACCATGCCCGGCGCGTTGTCCCTGACCGCCAAGGCCGCGCCCCGGCACACGAGCGCGAGGCGGCCTTGGTGCCTGTTCGCGCTGATCTTCGTCCGCAGACCGGCGAAGTCGTAGCCGTCTGGCATGTGACCAACGCGGTCCAGGCCGAGCCCCTGGAGGCAGCTGACCAGCGCGTCCTAAGACTGGAGCCCCAACAACGAGGTGTCCATCGCATTGAGAGCCTTGACGTCGCCGGTAAGCTCCTTCCTGCCCTCCCACTCCGTCAAAGACGACAGCTTCTCGTCCACGTTGGCGAGGACGTCCTTCATGTCTAGGGTGTTCTTAGCAACGTTCTCTGAGATGGTCCACACGTTGTTTGCCACGGCCTCCATCTTGGCGACGGCCTGGCTGACCATGAACTCACAGAACTTGATAATCTTAGAGCTGATACCGAAGGCGCCACTCGTGTCGGACTTGATCTTTGATGCCTGCCGGTTGAAATCTGCGAAGCACGTGAGCCACGAAGCCAAGTTCGGGGACGTCTGGTCTGCCTTGAAGGCGGCCAGCTTGGTCTGACAGCTACGCGCGCTGAAGAACACCGGCAAGCATGTGGCAACGCATTCCAGCTTCGCCGCCTGCTCGCCCCACCCCCCGTCCGGATCGAGCGTGGCAAGCACAGAGCACGCGCCAGAGAGCGCGTCCACGAGGCCAAGCTCCAGGGACGTGTCTGCGGTCGCGGTCTCCATGACCATCTTGTTCTCCAAATTGAGTTGTCCATCCTGGACCGGCCCAGCGGTGATAATGGGATTTTGAAGGGGTGTTCCTGAGCTGCCATGGAGGGTCCGAGTGGGAGCCGGGCAGAGAGCCGCCTTTTCGTGGCCAGTCTGGGGAGGGGGGGGGGGGGGCGAAATCGCTTTGATAAAACCGCTCGTCTGGGAGGGTTGTGACCCCCCAAACGATTCATTCTTTACTGCGAATGTGTAGTTGACGCACGTCGGAAATTTGCCCCTAAAGCTCGCCGCCCAAACGCTTCACCAGAAGCCAACACCTAGGCCCCCTAGGGCCTAGGGCCCGACCCCAATCATGCGCCACAAAGCAGAGCCTGGACCCCAGCCCCCGACCCATTGCCAACCCGAGATGAAGTCCTCCAACCAGCACCCAAGCAGTTCCTCCAGCGGGAACTTGGTCGACTTGAGCTGGCCTTGCTCCACGTAGCGCTTCCTGATGATCTTGGCTAAGCCCGACAGGCCCTCCGAGACGTGGTTGATGAAAATTTCTCCAGCACCTCGAATCTCTTCTGGACTGATCGCAGTGCGCTTAGACGTCGTCGCATAAGTCATTGCGGCGAGCTCGATCATCCTTTCCACGTTCACGTTGGTGGCCCAGTTCACTTTGATGTCGAGCATGGCCTTGGCAGTCAAGACGAGGCCAGTGTCGGAGAGCGCGCTCGGCCCGACGTAGTCCGCATTCTTGGGCAAGACCTTCATGACCGCGGTCAGTCCATCCAGGAACGGCTTGATGGCGATTCCTTCCTCGAACTTGCCCGGGAAAGCGGTCTTGCCCCACGTGACCCATTTGTCCCAGATCTCATTGAACAGTCCGAGCATCGCGCAGCAACTGCCCCAACTCGTGACGCCCTCCGCATCGATGCGATCGAAGTCTTCAATCTTGACCAGCGTGACCAGCTGTGAATCCGTCGAAGAGGGCTCGTACATGAAGGACGCCCAAGACGCCACTCCTCTCGGGTGGGAAAAAAGGGGGGATAGCTGGGGATAGATGGGGGATAGCGGGATGGCCGGGATAGCGAAGGGCAGGGTAGAGAATCAGCTCACGTAGCTGATTTTCCCAGCGCCTCCCAGCGCCAGGAGGCGCCCATGTATCGAGGAATGGGCTCGGCGGCGGCGGGGCCGAAACCAGCTGCATGCAGCAGATGTCGCAACTCCAATTTTCCCTATCCCAGAGTCAATCCCCCCCTTTTCTTTCGGTCCGATCCTCCAGGGAGGGGGGGGCCCTCGCCGAGGAACCCCCTGGCCACTTTGCGAGGCCCCTAGGCTGCAGCAGGCGAGCTGCGTCTCCCCATTGCCCCATGGCCCCAGGGCCCTGGACCATGACCTGAAACGACAAAAATTGCAGGCGGCATTCGGCCCCACGCAACCAAGTGATCAGCAGAGGACAGAGGAGGCCCCGTCGACCAACCAGGGGGGTCTGGCGGCGCTGGCCGGAGGCCTCTACAAACAGGGTTCCGACGGGTGCTCAGACGACCCACTGGACAGAAACGCGATCGGCGAGCGATCGGCAATCCACGACGCCGACGATGCCAATTGGAATCGTGAAATCCGCCTACTCCCTACTGCCTAGTCTCCCCTCCTTTGGCTTGCGCAGTCCTCCTCCTAAGACTCCCCCCTCTGCCCTCGCCTTCGCCGTCGTCTCCGCCGCAGTCGTCGCCTCCCTCTTCCCGTCGAAGAAGAGGGGGGGTGGAGCGAGGGGGCCAGGATGGGAGGCGAGGGGGTCCAGGAAGAACATGGGGAGATGGGGCAGGGAGGGAGGGGAGGAGAAGGGCCCGGGACCCAGACGAAACGAGCAAGCAGCTCAGGCCAGATATCCGCCGCTATACGCCACAGCTGATGTCATCAGTTCCCCAGATCCTTGGGATAGCATAATTTTAAGTTTTGCGGTCACGAGGTCCACGATGCTGGGGTGCTTCTCGGCGGCGTTGGACAATCTGGCGAGGGAGTTCTGGATGCCCTGGATGGTCGATTTCACAATCTGCAAGCACTCATTGGTAAGATCCCATTCTGTCTGGTTCAGCGTCGTCTCCGCTTTGGCTAACTGGAAGAAGTAGATAAGGTCCGAGTAGATGGCGTCGAAGGATCGCGCCGCGTCGCCAATGCATCGGCGACGTCGGCGCGGAGAAGATCAGGCCCCACGTCGAGTGAGTCGTTTCGCCGATGCATCGGCGATGTGACGCGATCATCTGACCCCATCTACTCGAACCCCATCTAGGAGGCCTAGAGGCAAACAGAGACCCCCGATACCCCTTCGAGGCTCCATCCGTCCATGGGCCATGAGCCCAGGATGGCATGATAGCATAGCCAGCCCCTCTGGCAGGAATGGGGGGGATATGGACTGGCCCAGGTTGCAGGCGCCGGCGTGGGCCAAGACAGAGGGGAAGGCGGCCAAGTGGGGACCGGCTTCGGGAGGGGGATCCGGGATCGCGGGATTGCCACCCGGGATGGGCCCAGCAAAGGAGGAATTGGTCGGGCGAGGTGCCGCGCCCATTGCAGCGATTGCAGGGATTGCGGGGATTGCAGGGCACTGCAGTGCAGCAAAGGATTCGGGCTAAGGGGGGCTCAGAGGAGGGAGGGGGGATGGTCTGAGGTAGTAGGGGGATTGCCGGATTGCAGGGGATTGAATAGGAGGGGGGATGGGGGGTCTTTGAATTGCACCACCTGCTTCTCCTGGATCCCGTCCTTGGCAAGACTCTCCGCCAGCTGGGACACGTGCTTGACGGTGGCCTTGCCGAGCCTGCTGTTCGCGAAGTAGTAGAGCAACCCCTTCTTCTCAGCGTTGGCCCCGTGGCCCTTGGAGGTGCCCCCCCCAGAGATGAACCCCGAGGCCAACTTCAAGGCTTGCTGGATCGACTGCGCCGTAGACTGGCCAGCTTCGCCGCCCAGGAGCGCCCTCACGTGAACCCAATCATCCTGCAAGCCCTCGGGGACAAACATGAGGTCGACGCCGTCCAGGAAGAACTTCTTCGCTGCAGAGTCCAGGTCTGGCGCGTTGACGCCGTTGGGCAACTTGGCCGGGGACAGCGTGCGCGCGGCGTGGAGTACCACGTCCGTGTGCACCTCAGGGGTCAGCGCAGTGTTCTCCAAGCACTCTCGCGTGAGCTTCGTGATCTCCGCCCAGCAGCATAGGTTCGTATGGGTGTCGATCTTCTTGATATACAGGATCCTTGTCATCCAACCTGGGAGCTTATCCATATCCAGCTCGATCTTGTTGACGCACGCCTCCAACTCAACCAGCGACGGCTGCGTCTTGCCGAAAGACTTCAAGCACACAGTGGCATTCGTCAGGAAAGTAGACTTGCCAGAGAGCTCCTCCTTGGTTATGTCGGAGATCGGGGCGGCGGCCTTGGTGAGCGGCAAGACTGAGGCGATGGTCGCCTGGAACTCTCGAACCAGCGCCATCGCTTGGCGGCCGCGGACTTCAGGGCCGTTGGTGAACTCCGAAATCCTCTGATCCAGGCTCGCGTTCGCTTGGTCGAGCTGCTCGTCCAACTGCTCCCTCTTCGTCTTGACTGCGCTGCCGGCCGAGGACCCAGTTGACTTGGATGCTGGGGCCAGCGCGGTCTTCCTCCCTGGAGGCTCTGTGGGGGTCCCCGTCCTCGAGGCCCTCCCTCTCGCCTTTCCTGGAGTAGGGCT